CATCAAATATCTGCCTATCCATTCTTACACCATTCTCTTCACATTTCATCACACCAATTTGTGCTTGCGATCGACTTCATGCTAAACTACTTTTAACCTGACTGTTTTCAATATGTTCAATAAACGTTTTTTTAACGATCGTTTCCAGTATATTCCTATGATATGATATGTTTTAAAGAATGTTGCATAAAGGATAAAGGATAAAGCCCTCGGTCGTAGGGATGGAAGGCTTGGTGAGGAGATGGGCGGATCGATTCCATGTGTGTTGCATGACGCCTTCGACCACTGCGCCTAAAAGAATGTTGCATAGAGCAGTAATTCCATGCTCGTTTTAATTCCTATTGGATAGCAGTGCAATAAACATCCCATTATTACTGATAAGCATAAGGGTTTGAAGGAAATGCTGTTACATAGGCAAAAGCAATAATTTTTGATTTCACATGTACACCCACTGGAACGCAGTGCTTTTTATTTTATTTCATTTTTTGCATAACCAGGAATCACATGTTGACCTCCGCATTCATTATTTCCTAAGGTCCTCAAACTTGTTTATTGACTTCACGACTGCGTGAGGATCTTTGGTCTCCGTCTCCAACATCACTGATCGAGTATGCACTAGGACGTTCGTGGATCTTCACCGTAGGAGGTAGCCGTCAACCGTTACGAGTTGTAGGGTCCACAGAAGCTCTTCCCACATAAATGTGGTGTCAGTTTGCCAAATTTTGAGGTATGGGAGACTTTGATGCTCAGTAAGGGTGTCGAATCAAAGTTTTAAACGACAAATCTACCACTGAGAAAACCGCGACAGTGTTCTGCACTACGTCATGTCTTCAACGACACTCAGAGAATGACAAATATTTTTCGTATTTTTGTTGAGCAAACGCGAGGTGTTATTATTCTTTATTCACAAATGAGCTGACGTTTCGGCGGATTTCGCCTTCCTCAGAGCCTGGAAAGGTCAAGTTGACAGCAATCTACTTGGCCAGACGCCTCCATAACCAAACAAAGAAACTCTAAACCAAGATTTCAATCACATTGAACACAGCTTTGCACACTCACCGCTTTCTATGAGGTCTCCACTAAGTATGTCACGTAGAGACCAACCGCACAGAAATCACATGGGAGTATAATGTACCCCACTCATCAGAATAGCAGTCTTATATACTGCCCTACATCACGCGTGATAATGAGGCATTCTTCCCTGCGGTTCATTTTCGGATTTCTGGAATTAATCCAGAGTGCCTCGAGAGTTTTTCTCTGGAGGCGTCTGGCCAAGTAGATTGCTGTCAACTTGACCTTTCCAGGCTCTGAGGAAGGCGAAATCCGCCGAAACGTCAGCTCATTTGTGAATAAAGAATAATAACACCTCGCGTTTGCTCAACAAAAATACGAAGAATTACTTGATCAATGCCGAGGTTAATAGAAAGTCGGTCGTGGGAGTTACAAATATTTTTGTTTTATTCTTGATATCATTTTCAATGGAATTAATTTTATCGAGTTGATTCCATTCTCGAGGGATCATGCAGAATAAAGTTTTTCTTGTTTTGCTTCGAACTTCTTGAACTACAATAAAGAAAAAGCGCCTGCCTTCCTCATAAATATACAAGTAATCGTAAAGACTCGAACTTGTTTGATTCAATGGTGTAATGAACCCTAAATCTCAGCTAAGTAGTGATGGGAACATATGGCCTTTGTTTCACAGACACAGATCAAATCGGCCTTGGTAAAAACTGGCCACATAGAATAAAAATCATTTTTGTAGGCTTCATTTCAATTCTCGGTATCCAAAACACGTAACAGAGCACAGGAAGTCCGGTGCTAGGTGTTTTGGTGCCGTTCAATAGGGGAATTTCTGATCCAACCCTGCCCCGTGCCAAAAGACTTCCACCTCGTCTCATATGGGAACTTAATATCTGAGTCGTGTGGGGTCAGCCGGCTTCCTCCGATCCACAAAAGTTGGCGAACCCCAACGATGAAGGTCAGGGAATGTCATGGCTCGGCTCTCCTAGGAACCCAAGGGAATGGACTCGAAAACATTCAACAGTGTTCATGTAGAAGGCGGAATGCCCATAAGCAATAGCTGAACTCATAAACAAAAGGTGAAAACCTCAATATAATATGAATGCGGGGAAAAGAGTCTGATCGAAGAAGTGCTGAGATTAGCCCAAAATTCGTGATGTCGGCTCAGGAAAAATGAAAATAAAAAATTACGGAGGAGTTACAATAACAATTGACGATAAATAACCCATCTATAAAAGACCACTGATCAGTCGGACATAATGTCCAAATAATTCACGTAAACAAGAAAATGGAGCAGTCACGTTGTAATTCAGTATATAGACAAGGTCGGAATGTGGAGCAAAGGATAGAGCGCATGCCCACGGAGAAGGAGACTGAATGATCGAGTCCTACCGTACTCGAAGGACTCTGCTTCTGTTGCGCATTCTTGCGTAGATGGAATCTGCAAGGAAACAGAAAAATCACTCTCTTCTTGATGAGCAGACGCGAGGGTGTTAAGAACCAAATTTATTCAGAACCATAATGAGTGACTTTTCGGCGGTTTCGTCATTTTCAGAGTTCGAAAAGGTCAAAGCAGGGCAGGCAGCCTACTCAGTCTAACACTTTCATTCCCTCAACAGAAAAATCGGTCGCAGTGATTGAAGTGCCATTGAACACTTTAAGACGCCAGCTAGTTCGTATCCGTTTATATGACCACTTATGCGAAATGGAAAATTACATAGCCTCCTCTAACGGTTGAAACGGCGATTATATGAGATCGGTATTGCATACCTAATTTCTCTAAATAATGCTGCACATTAGCAAAATGGGTAGACTCCCCTGTGTGCACATAAAAGAGCACCCAGTTAGAAAACTCAAAGTAAAACAAAGTACTCTAAGAGCCACGTATAGATCACAAAGGCATAACAGAAAAGACAGTATCCTCGCACAGCTGACAATTTGACTCTTTAAGGGCGTGAAGAAGGTGGTGCCGTCGAAACATCGGCCAGTATTGCACTAAATACACGTTGTTGTTAATAGCCACATATCTACTTATCAAGAAAACAATTATTTGATCAATGCCAAGGTTAATCGATGATCAGTTTTGAGAGTTATCATAATCAATGCAGGAACCAGATTGGAGGAAGAGTGCTAGACCACGCACTTGGTACGTGGCCGCGTGGCGCAATGGATAACGCGTCTGCCTACGGAGCAGAAGATTGCAGGTTCGAATCCTGCCGTGGTCGGAATGTTTTGCCCTAGTCGCTGTTTTTCGCATCGGCGCAATCTGCAAGGAATCCTTGGAAGCTGTTCGAGATATGGAAACTGGAAGTGTGATGAAATGTCAAATGGTTGCTAAAATGCCGGTTAGCACAATGGATAACGTGTCTGTGTACGGTGTAGATGCTCGCAGATTCAAATCCTACCATTGTCGAAGCATCTGTTCTAGTCGCCCTTTCTGGCTAGAACCAGAAATTCGAAGATCCATGACATGTGAGGGTTCACGCCCTACTTACGCCGCTGTGGTCAGTTTTTGTCTAGTGCTTACTTTTATTATTCATTTCATTAGCGCGTCCAGATTATATAGCTGTAAACTTTAATTTCAAATAATTGCGTGCTGCCTTTTACTTTTGTTAGCGTTTTTGTAAAAAGTTTAGATACGTTCTTCAAACGTGTGAACTTATTCAGTACTTTGTGAGTAGCCCTTTTCGACACACCTATTAAAATTTTCTGCAAAGTCCTTTCTACAAACCTGTAAAATTACTGATGAGGAACTTTTCGTCTGTCATGAGGAAAACCTGCTTTGGCTCAAATAAGTTTTGGAAGGTCCTCTATATTGTTGAGAAAGAAGCAGTAACGAATATTCATGTCAATCAGGTGACGCCTCCTTGTATTCAATGAGCCTATGTAAGGTACAAGTGGGGAGTGGGGCTAGAGCAGTGATAATGAAGTCGTTCAATATGCTCAAGGCCCCGGTTCGAACTTACATAGGCACGGCCAAGCGTTCCATCCCTCTGGGTTGAGGAAAACAAACGGTGTCAGTTTTATCTAGAATTAAGAAGTTAGATCAAACACAAAAACGCTGGGAAGTGCCTGTGAGGAAAGTCTGTAGGTCAGATTACGGCTAAACCATGTTTCAAGGAGTATCCACCTTGACAAGACATTTATGAAGAACACCAAGAATTCTTCAGCAGCAGCGAAATCCACATGGACATTTGAGTATACTCGAGAAATATGGATGAGAGGCAATGTTCAAATGCAAGAAGTTCTGGAATCCCACGTGATGTGGAATCACGTAGAGCAGAAGTAAAGAAACATTAAAGGTATACTTAAACACCAACTTCATACCTGCTGTGACGCCATTCTACATCATTATCATTGATGTAAAATAGGAATTAGAGCAACTCATACTACATCACCAAAGATATTCACACGTGTTAGCAAATGACCTACCGACTGCCATGGGGAGCACTGGCCGCTACGAAGCAGATCATATTGGATAGTAGTCGACCAGCATCCGTCCTAGATAAAAGGGCACCGCCAAGTGAGGCTGTCTATTCGAGCGGTGCTTTCTCCATCTAATTCGACTCGATACGACAACAAAGACCCACATCGAAAGAAGAAACAACTGTGGAGCATCGACTCGGCTCAACGCGACTCTGAAGAAGGCGAAAGCGCCGAAACGTTAGCTGAATAAAAGTTTTTTATACCAACCTCATGTCATCGCAATTATTTAGAAAATTATTGATATCACCTCTCACGAACAACACATGAAAACAGGAATAACAGAGGCATGAAGGTTGATAGCAAGCAGAATTTTTGCTGCTTTTGCTGACGATATTTATGCTGCTTAGTAAGATCGAGCATTAGCAAGGGAGAACGGATGCTAACTGACAAGGAAAATACCTTAAGAAAGTGGTTTTCAGTTTAACTGATTTTCGTGCACAAAGGCTTAAGGAGCTGAGGAAAAAACTTAATGGACAGTAAAAGTAGGTGATACAATGCAACCGATTCGACTCTCCAATCTTTCACGTGTCATTGTGACCCTGCCCTCGAATACTGGGACGCCTAATGAGCAAAACGAAGGATTACTCAGGACTATGCAATGCGCTTTTAAAGGGATACTGCCAGGCGTTCCCTGTGCAACTGAGGGTGCGAGTTCTAGCTTCGACCTACGTAGGCGATCAAAGAAAAAAGATACTGTCTTATACGCTAAAGTGTTGAAAATCCCACGGACTCGAGATATGGTAGGTCTTAACGATAACTGATAAACAAGGAATGTTAGGGATCAGATCCTATGGGACTTTAAACGTATCTTACAGTAACCCTAGCAAAAACATGTGCTAGGCTGCGAGTCCGTACGGAGAGCGGAGCCCAGTGGGCTACTATTGCACACTACAGGAACAAATATGGGGAGTACTCAATTCACTCAGTACCCAACTAGAGGAGAGATAACGAGTGACAATGGCTTATCTGAGTATGCACAAAGTGTGTCTTCTCCACTGATCCCTTACTATACAAGGAAGAACGATGAATTCAGGCCCACATTGTACCGTGCAGTTAAAACAGTAGTTAGAAATTCCAAGAAACTTTCTCTTGTTTCACTACGAGTGTAAGCGCATTTGTTTATTCTTTTTGCTTTTATCATTGCCACAACTGTTTCTTACCAGTAATGTAAAGTGGAGCGCGTGTAACGCAGTGGTCGGAGGCGCCCTGCAGTACACATGGGATCGATTCCATCGCCCCTGGCCCAACAAGCCTTCTATTCCTCCGGGGTTGGCAAATCGGTAGCAGACTTGTCTGGGAGGATAGCAGAACTGGCTCGACACATCGGTGGGCCACTGCGAGTCATTGTAAAGTTCAGATATGCAACCAATCATCTCCAAACGATGCTTAATGAAGTCAAATGCATGGCCCCTCCCTTAAGGATTAATCAACGCCGACAGCTTTACCTAGGTTTTGTAACGAACGATCTGTACTATGAGAGAAGTGAACGAACAAATCAATGCTCTGCTCTTCACAACGAAATTGTATTGAATGGATGGACTTCGAGGATAACGGGTTCGAATGGCCAAAACGCGTATTCACAACGATGATCTACTCCAATCAACTGGATTCAGAATTACATTGAAGAACAACGCAGAATGGATATAACTACGCTGAAGACACGACTTGAACGAATCCAGTTCCGAGGATAACGCTCTCACCGGAACGCCATTCTCAATAGAGTTTCGTCACCACCTTCCAACTCTGTCAATAAAGCAATACATTGGAAAATTACGATACAACATCTACTCGACTGAATTTCGTCATACAATTATTGCAAAAAAGAGAAACCCGTACTTCATAATACGCCTAGGCATAAAAGCGCTCCAATGCAGATGCGCGAATTCGGTGGCCGTCCTTTAGTTTTCCATTGAAAGCACTTATTTACGCGGATATGTGATGAAGATCGTTGCTTGTGGTTTCACGTATGATTTCCACTTGCTATGTTCTGCTACGGTTTCGTATGTACTCATATCATTTTATCTTTACTACCGCAAATGAGAAGTGTTGAGTGGAAGAAACGTGATCATCAATCTTAAGGTTATGAATCCGCGGTACTCGAGCACATCGCCGCGACATGGCCCATTACTGTCTAGCAAAAAGCCGAACGTAATCTTAGAAGTGGCAGTTCAGGTGTGTGATATCGTTTCATTTGATAATTATTGTAAAGAGCTTATTTGTAACTGCTTACTTGGATACTTGGATGGCCCGTCTTCACTGGTTGTGCGGGCCATAGCATAACTTCCATTCTCCGAAAATTTGCTCGTTTATCCGTCGTGGTTTCCAGGAGTAGTGAGGACAGCCTGGCCAAAGTCTGCCCAGGTCGTCACCACCACAGGCAACCATCACCCTTGTGGATCAGAGGGAAGTTTGCCACCGTGCGACTAGTTTAATATCAGGACACTGGTGGATCCTGATACTGGTTTGCTCTTGGCTGGGCTTCCTGTTGGAAACGCCGGGCTCTTCAGCTTGGGAGACCGTGCTGAGGGGACGAATCTCTCAGCTGTACATCGCAGCTCGACACCGAGGAACACCACCTAGCCACGATGAGGCGGTAAACTGTTGGGAAGGAGCTTATTTATACATGGTATGTAAGCATTTTCGAGCGAGGAAAAGGAGCAGTTTATGTTATTCTTCCCTAGAATGGCAGACATTTGAACGATCACGATAGTGGTTCTCACTCTCGTATTGAATAAAAAGAATTTATAACTGGCTATTGGAGTAGTAGTCTAAAGGCTTTTTAAGATTCCTGGTAATAGCTCGAAATTCGTTAACGGCTGATCCTTGAAAAGAGCTGGACCTTCTCTTTGCGTTGATGACTGCTACTGGTCTTCCTTCATTTTACATACAGTGAATCCCAGCCATTTGAGTGGTTGTTGAATAGTTTTATTACAGGTGGCTAGCAGGTTTCTGTTCATTAATCCAAAGAAGAAGGCGATCGGTTTCGTAGTGTTCGTTACACTGTTATCAATGATTGGCGCGATTGTCACTCTAGATAACAGCTATTACATCGTGCAGGTTTAAGGAATTATTTGCTTGATATCCTCTTTCGATCTCTTGGATCGTACTTTTTAAAATGATTGGGGTTGCACTTGTAAGTGTTTCATAATTGTTAGTTGTTCAGAAGCATAGTGTGTTCAACAAGTATGGGGTCAAGCTCGGATGGATGTGGACATGTCTGATCGTGGGACCATTTATGTGGTTATCTTCGCGAGCTCATTATAGGTGGATTTTTACTGCTTTGTTTGAGTCCTCTTGGTAAATTTACTTTCTGCATGTTGTTTAATTTACATTTTATGGATGAGTGCTTTGGAGCCTGTACGTCTGTTTACTTCGTTTATTTTTAAATGTTTCTTAAGGGATAAGGACAAAGCCATAATCGATCTGTTACGTCTTGCGATTGCTACGCTTTGTTGGTACATCACTGTTTGGCAGTGGGTTTTTGTCCTACATTACAAAGGTATTCTCCAAATACAAATCAAAACAGTGTAATACTGACAGGTTTGGAGCTGAGATTGAGGATTTAGCAAATAATACCTCCCCACCATATCAGTTTGACCTGCTTTTTTTATTGAAGGTATTCTCTTCTGTAAGGAGATGTTCCACCGATAAATTCAGTAGGTTAAAATACTTCCCAACTCTATTGAAAAAGTCTTAAACAGTACTGTTTCGTAGGAACCGATCGATATCTGAACAAGTGTAACGACAAGGGAGCCGAGATTTGAGTAAAGCTCGAAATCTCAGTTGGGCAACTCGCAAATACCCTTGCCGGAGACTCACCATCCACCACACCAACATAAGCCCTCACTTTGGCTTTTTCTCAGTCTTCTTTTTACTCTATCGGTGCTATCAGTAAATATGTTACGACGATACTATAGGGACTGCTACGTTATTTTCTCCAACTTCGACTCCGTCTTTGATGGTAACAGTGAAATTTTCAATTGTTGCTTGTTAGAGGTCGTATTTTTTACAACGTGAGCACCTAGGACACTGTTACTTCTAAGCTGTGTTTTGCTCGTTTGTGCTCACGCGATAGTTTCGAGGACGTTCTTTGTTTTATCCTGTCATTTTCCATAGTCACTGACCATATGCATTTGGTTTTGTTCTTAATGTACTGAGCGGTGTAGTTTTTCAGATTTGGTCGAATAACACAATGGACTTCTCGTTGTGACCTTAGCATACGTTATTCAAAAGCTGAGTGCCAAGCGGAGGGCGGTGTGTGGATTCTCGGCTTCGATATTTCCGGACATTGCTTTTTAATGATTTACAGCATGCTTGTGATGTCAGAAGAGGTTGTTAGGCTGTTTATCTACGCCTCATTCTGCAGAACTAGGATTTTTACGGTGTTCTCGACTTCGGCGAAAATTTGCGATGTTTAATTATTATGCTTTAGGCGCATGCTTTTCGGGAGTGGAGTCAGATTTTACATCGTGACTATGATTCTGGTTTAGCGAGGCGTATACGTCTGGAGAAACTAACACGATTGGTCGAATATTTCGTTATTGCGATGCTTGTGCTCAATATTATTTGGGTAAGTGATATCTTCTTTTGTTGCTTTGGCGCGTGCGGTGCAGTGGTCAGAGGCGCTCTGCAACACACGTGGAATCGATTCCCGCGCCCATGGCCCACCAAGCCTTCCATCCCTCCATTGTCAGCAAATTGGTACCAGACTTGTCTGGGAGGATAGCAGCATTGGCTCGATACATCGGTAGGCCACTGCGAGTCATTGTAAGGGCCGGATGTGCATTCAATCACCTCCATACGATGCTTAATGAAGTCGAATGCATGGCGCATCTCTAAGGAATTGATCGATGCCGAGAGCTTTATCTTTTATGGTGTTCTTTACGACTCTTAGCTAAGATGGAATATACTGTATCTTGGATATGTAATTTTTTGAAGTGCCGTTTTCATAACTAACATAAGAAATGTTGACATTCTTTGTTCTAGGTCAAGCAGTTGACCATTTCAGTGTTATACTACCACACGTTAGCTGATAAGGTGAGATCTTCTGTTATTTGTCATTTTTTGCTTTGGTGTTTCCATGCAGCTTAATTTTTTTCTACTCTGCAGTACCTACTTGTGACGTAGTTTAGGTCGTTGGCGCTCTAGTTGCTGTTTTTTGGTGGCGTATTACCTACCATGGTCTTTATCCGGCTGGGTTTCTGCAATCTCCTATACACCGAGTCAAGGACTCTTCGAGTAAAAGACGCTAGTTTAGACGTGGTGAAAATGACGTTGGCTTGTTACCTTACTAACCCTAGGCTGACTGCTTAGCGTGATATTTTATCGTCCTTTCTGAACCAATAGCATTTTTTCGTCTTTCCCTTATGTTGCTCGTATTTCTTTTGTTCCTTGTAATACATTTCAGCTTAGTCTGATGTAAAAAAATTGCGGGAAGCTTATTTTGTTTTCCTTTTTGTTAAGACTTGGTTAAATATACGTCATATATGTGCTCAATTTTCTCTACTTATACGTCCATCTTTAAAGTCGTTCAGTAAAGGTGTTTATTACAACCCCTACCAACTTCGTGATTCCAAGCGAGGAGCTGCGTCAGTTTCTAAGAAGCTAACTTCTTCGTCGCTTTTAATAACTCGAGAATTTGCCTTCCTGGTTTTGGAATTTCGAAAAATACTTGCCTATTTATGTAGCTGTTAACTTTTGCATATCTTCTTTTGTTGTTGTTCGATTTTGCTGGTACAACTGGGCTTACGGTTTCTGTTTGAAATGTTTTAGGATTCCATTGACAGAACTACGTATTATGCATGTATTAGATGCATCGTTTATGAGAGAGCGGTAAAGTTACAGTGTTCTATTTAACACTGTGTTACGCGCCGTGGTCTTTTACACTTCATAAAATGGTCTTACATCTTTTCTGTTGTGGGTCGCCTTTGAGAAGAAAATTCGAGTCGAATAAATGAACACACTAACGACAATTTGGGCGAATTGTGCGTTTCATGTATTTTCTCCGGAAGCTTTGTGCACTCCTACTTCATGTTCATTTTCAATAAGAGTATGAACAACGTGTGCCAACATGGAGACACAGGGAAGAGAAGGTGAGAACAGATCTGATGGCGCTCGTGGTGGAGGTCCTGCACGTTCCTCATTGTGTTAAGCAGGGTTGTCGGTTTTGAGAGGCATGAACACTGCGTGTGTTCTGGAAAGAAGGTGTAACATTTTGATTTTCCCTAGAAAACTGGGTATTCCGTCCTATATTATCGGATGATTCACAATTCCTGAGATACGGGAAGGATTCATTGTTATTACGTTGTTCAACTATAAATATGCGCCATTTGTGGTTGCCAACGGTCATCATTCAATTCTAATTAGTGCGTGGATGCCTTCGCTAGGATGAAGCATTATAAGCGAGTCAAATCCACCGTAACCTTACAAATTGGTGGCGACATATTTAGCGACAGAGCGCGTAATCACCACCCTCCAGCAGCGCCGTTACAGCTAACGGTAACTTGTAATAGCATGGTGTCGAATGTCGTGATTATGCACTAGGCGATGAAAGCCGTCAGTTTCATCTGAGATCGAAGACATGGGCGGGTGTAGGTACATGATTTGCCAGGCCTTTTCTATTTTGGGTGGAACGGTTTTGAAGCAGTTTTTTCATAATTAGACTTTGCTTGCCAAAGTTCCATCAATAGTTTTACAGTACCTGTGAATGGAATGGCAACAGCGACTCGGCCTCCGAATACAATATCGAGCTTTAAAGGTGTTTGACATTTCTCCACATGAGGACTTTAGGAGTAAATCTATGCCGCAGAGGAAATCAAAGAACTACCTGCGACTTTAGTTTTACCAATAACAATAGGAATAAAGGGCTTCATTCTGAAAGTGTGAACTTGTTCATCTATGAGCAGATGGATCCTGCTGTGCACCGGTAGTGCGCTACCGGTTTAGAAGGAAATAACTGGTGTTAGTTGAAGTTGCTTAATGATTAACATGGTTGCAAGTAGTTCAATACGCTATTTTGAACGTGTTAGAAATGTAGATTTTCTGTCTAATCATAAATCTGGGCCGTTGAAGTCTCATAAATTCCTGGAAGGTCTTTCTGACCGATTTTTAATCAACGAATGTTTTTGTGCTGAGAAACAGGAAAGATTCAGACCTTAGAAAATCGATTGTTCATCGATTATTGGTCTTGGTGATTAGTGCAAATGATCGAGAGATTCGCTTTCTAACTTGTTCAGTAAAGCATCCAATATTGCAATAGATGGAGGTAGCGCAGTGCGCTCGCCTTGCTTAATATTCGCCACATGTTGAAGTTCATAGTTCACTTTGTCGACTTTTATGTTCATTTTTTCAATACGAACATTTGTGCCGGAAATGTTTTCAGGAAGATCTAAGCGTACATAGTGGATGATTCCATCTGCAAAGCACGAAAAACCACTACACCTGGTTGCAAATCTGATGTGGCGAGGTGTTCACTATCGTATAGAATCCATTTCTTGGGACATTCTACGCAATGCGAGTGAAGTGAATCGCCCTTGTTGCACAAGAGAAACCAAAAACGAATCTTATAACGAGAATCTCCTTTCCTTTACATTGTATAACATTTATCTGCTGCCCATTTTCTTTCCAGTGCAGGGTATTATGTGAAATGCAACCACAACGACGTTGAGATATTTGCAAAACTGCGGACCGCAGGCTAGACCGAACCGTGTTTACCCTTTACAGAAGCTCACGTGTTACGCATTGCACCACTAATGTCCTCTTTGCTATTGCCTTTTCCTTTACTTTCAATTTATTGGTGCGCTAATTTGACTACTGTTTTCGATATTTTAGTTGGATTTAGGTCTTCACAGATTGATATTCTACTTAGTAGTTTAGGTTTATAGCGAGGTTTCGATCCGTTTTCTAACGATTTGCTTCAAATAATGTCTACAAATGGTGCTCATCGAATGCAAGAGGTCTTCCTGGACCTTACTCGTTTTTAAAGATTTCAATACCATCACGAGACTTTCGAAAGAAACTTGGGATTATTGCTGTATGGTCGTCAGTGCTTTAAGTCTGATTTCGCCTGTGATATTTCCCAACTCTTTTTGTTATTTATTTCATTAACTTAAACTGGCCACGGATCTCCCTCATATGAGGGATTTCAAGCCGGTTAGTCGCGAGGGTACGTGGCGCGTCCCCAGGAGGCGGATAGGGGGTTAATTGCGGACCAAAAGCGACCTCTGCTTTCCTGAGACGCAGGTGGATCCAGGCGATGGACTCCCTATTTCTGCTGCACTCATTTGGCAAATACTTTCTGTATTTGCTAGGCGTATTCATGCATGCGTGTGTGGGTGCGTTCTCGCTTATGCGGATTGTATTCTACGAGTCAATTCGGTCAAAAGACTGCAATCAAGTGACTGGGAAGTATATGGGAGAAGGTTAAAAATCGCCTCCAACAAATAAGCTCCATATCCACTCTGGGAGAGCCTGGCAAGGTACCCGTGAGTATACCCAGCCACCACGTTTAGAGCCCAACAAGCTATACGTTGGTATCAAAAATGCTAAACACAGTAAAGAAAAAACGGGCCCCATTCCCCTGACACCGAAAGAGCCCCAATTTCGCAGTGTCGAGAAAGAGCAGTACGGAGAAGCTGCTGAAATCTCAGAGCCAATGGAAGCTCCCTGGATTTCAAAGAACTTTGGTGACGATCTGTACCTACGATGCACGTATACATGCATCCAAGTTCTCGATAGAGGACTTGCTCATGCAAGCAAGAAGTATGAGGTACAACGTCATCGGGCTGGCCGAGACGAGACGACGCCACCCATTCAACGCCGTCTATGACAGCGCAGAAGAACTGTTCCTCGGAATATGCGACAGTAGACGAGTCGGCCGCGTTGGAGTTCTCGTCAACACGAGTTTTTCCATGAACATCGATTCATTCGAACAACTTACAACCCGAATCGGACGTTCACTATTAAAAAGACGTGGATCAATTCCGACTTTGACAATCTTCGTCGTTCACGCGCCAACATCAAACTATGACGAAGGAGTCGAAGCGTTCTTTATGGACTTGAGGAAGTTCTACAGAGAAGACCATACATTTTTCAAGGTCATCATTGGAGATTTCAACGCCAAGATTGGACCGAGAGGAACGTCTGAAGAACGTCATATTGGAACCCACGGATTAGAATGGAACGAACAGAGTGAGCGGCGGTCTGAGTTTATCAGGAAATCAATATGATGAACTACTTAGTTCCAGAGTTGAGCAGAGGGAAACAAGCGGCTTGGTGAGTTTTCAAGAGCATCGAGGAATTAGTAAGGAGAAAAAAGAACACCCGACTCTATGCCCACGTTCTCGACTCAACGGTAGTTCATGCCCTAACGTATGCGTCAGAAACCAGGTCTCTGCCTAAGCAGGACCAAACATCACTC